TGACTGGTCGATACAATGAGTGATCTGTGTAACGGAGAATGAAAATCATATCTATATTTGGACGGTTTCTCCTGTTTCGTTAAACAACAATATCGTTGTCGGATTCTGAATCAACTAATTTTTGATGTTGAGAATTCATCATTTGGTCATATTGGTATTGGAGTTTGTCGTATTTCAATACACTTTTTCTCAAAAGCTATTAAAAAGAATCACTTAAAAAAATTGAACTATTTTTAGAAAAAGATTATTTGACGATTTTATTTACCTCCCACTGGTAATTGTCAAGGTAGTAATCTTGCAACATTGTCTCCAACATTTGTACACGATCTTCTAACGTAGAGTTATTGCGTCGATTTGATACTTTTTGTGATAAAGGAATTCCTGAAAGTGAGACATATCGTTTCGCTAATTTTCTTTTTAAGACTTCAACATAATGATAAAAAAAGCAGATTAATGAATGAAATCTATGTAACGTAAGTGATTAATAATTAATAGTAATTCTGAATTACCTGCGTCTGCATAATTCACATGTAAGTATATATTTTTGTAAAATACCCCTGCAAATAATGATGAAAAAAATTTTGATACAAATTCCAGAATTGATGTAATAGTAAAGTCCCAAAGTAATAAATTATGCCCAGCAATGAACCAGAATCAGAAACAATAAGATGTAATGATCGAGAATACAGGAAAATAGATTATATATATAAATAATAATTAATATCGATATAAGTTATATAAAATAATGATAAAAATATTGTAAGATAATAATAAATAATATTGTAAGATGATATATCCATTGATCGTTAAGTTATAATAAAACGAAATACCATGGGGATAATTTCGACATTCCAAAAAGTAATATATATATAGAACTCAAAGCTACATAGAAACCGCCAATTTTGGCCACTATATTTTCGACTTTTGACACTGTCTGTGAGATTTTTGTAGCGAGGCATTAAAAATATAGAGAGACTTACCTAAATTTTGAGTTTGATTTTCGTACCAAATATATTGCTTTCATAATATAGCAAATTGGATTTGTCTTTCATTGGAAAGCTTTGGAAGTGTTGTGATAGTAGGGTTTAGATAAAGTCTGTGAAATTGAGGTGAGGAAATCGTCCTGGTTTGCAAATTGTCAAAAACATAAGATCCTTTAATAGTAGGTGAAATGCTGATAACAGAACAATCTCCAGATTCAAAGAGGAATGATGGATTGCTATAGTCTGTATAGTATTTATTATTAATCATAAATGCGTCAAACTTGACATATAATTGGTGATCCGAGATGCCAATTTTTGAAAAGTTTACAGATGACGGTTCGTACTCTAGGGAGTGACCTGAGAGATCCAATAGTGAGATAAATGCAGATTTGGGAACAAGTATTCAGATAGATTAAATGAAATATTAGGTGCGGATGACGCTGGTGCTAAAGTGATGTTAAAACTCATTAAAGCTACGTCATAACTGCGTTGTTTTGATAAATTGAACCAAAATTTTATGCAATTTGAGTTGTTTGATTCTTTACATGAAGAAGAATATGAACTATAATCAATAACACCATCAACATAGGAGAAAAACTCATCAATTTATAATTGCAACTATGATCAGTGAAAGGCAAATTAGAAGCACATAGAAAGACTCCTATCGATTTTATAATAAATTAAAGTTAATAGTGAGTTTATAATGTTATTATATGGGGTTATTAACGTTCCAATTTTCAATTAAATTAGATTTAAAGCTGCTCCAAATTTATATATATTCTCAAACCAACACAACTTAAATTGGAGTATATTATTAACAATCTTAGCTATATGCAAGGAGCTAACTGTCATACCTGGCATTGTTGGAGGGATAACCTCTTCTGTTATTACAATGGTAAATTCTTTGCTTAGTATACTAAGTAATTGAATAGATGCATAAAGTAAAATTGCAATTAACAATCCAAACGCAGCAACAATGCGGATTATTTTAAACCAACATGGTTCGGTGGTTTTTCCATTAAAAAGTGCATCAATTAAAACCATTTTGATAAGCTACACGGTAAAAATAATGACAAAAATGACAGTTTAGTAAAAATTTTGCGATATTTAATATTTGCCATATTACCATATTTATGATCAGAATGAGACTAGAAAAATCTTGATTTCTGAAATCAAAATTCCAAATGAGCACATACGAAACAGGTTATTTTTGATTAATTATCTTGTGATCTTGATATTATGATCATTTTAACGATCATGAATAGCGGGTAGTTTTGAGCTTTTTATTTTCCATAAAATGACACACGGAATGACCTTCATTAATTATTGTTTCCTACTTTTGTTTATTGGAGAGCTGGGTTTTATAATATACGTAACCTATACAGTGGAGTTTATGAATTCTTTTGGAGAAAATTTTGGTGTTGCAGAAAACAAAAGTTCTTGGACTTCCATTTTTACGTTGATACTAATGTCTAGATTATTTACGGTGTGTTACGATCTAAGCAATAATAAACTTCATTTGCAAAAAAAAACATTAATTTTTTTATTTTATAGCTTTTGTCAAAAACTATATTACATGCATTTACTTTTTGTTTCTCAAATTTAATGACAATAGCATTATCTATTATAGAAAAGGTAATTTCCATCACAATTACGGTAATAAATCAACTAAGTAATTGAAACTATGTCAGAATTTAACCTTTTCATGTTATACAAACAAATAAAGCTTTGACTAGATATCGTTACTAGATTTTATTATTAAGATCGAATCATTAACACGATAAGGAATTGTCTAGAAACTTTTACAAGTGTTTATAAAATGTCGGAGAATATGTTTTAAGCGTTCAGCTAAGATACTAATATTGTGGTTTTGATTGCTTGATTTATTATCCTAATGTATAATGTATAATATTATTAAATATTAACAATGAATTTTTAATTCTTTCATACAAATCAACTACTTTAAGTTGTACAAGATATTAAAGTTACATCAATTACATAAATTCCACCTCCACCGGGTCATCCATATAAAGGGTCACCATTTACAATTATAGTGTTCTCTATATTTCAAGTTCTTTATACTTTTCTTATTGCCATTTTTTGGTTAAAAGGGTATGAAATACAAACTTAAGAAATTATCATGTTGCTTTATTTATTGTTCATTTAAAATAAAAACCAAATTATGTTACAGATACTGGAAATTTCAACGAAAATTAAAATGTAATTTTAATGCCGAAAAAAAAGGTACCTTTTTTAAAATTAAAAATATGCTGGTTATTTACTCACAAAAATTAATTTACCTGCTTAGAATTATTTTCCATGTATGAATATCAGCTGTTATCCGGCAAACTCATATGATCATGAAAAAATTTCTTCTTGTTATTTTTTTCATGTGTTACGATATAATTATGTTATTCCAATATTCAAAAAATAAAACTCAGCGAGCGACTCCCTACCAATCATGATCATAAATTGCCGGATAACACCAATATTGGGCAAATTGTCGAATACGGTAATTCGACAAATGATTGGCTACACGTGCCGCAAAGCGGCACGCGCCCATTTGCCAAATTACCGTTATTCGACAATTTTTGCCCAATATTGTATACGTATTGGCACAAAATTGAAGTATTAACGATTTTCCCTTCTTTTTTTTTAAAAAAAAAAAACTAGATACAGCAAGAATCCCACGTTCTTTTGTGCATCACACAATTGGCTATTTGTTCTCAAATTTTTTTATTTTGTTACGAGTTCCACAACATAATTTTGATCATCCATAGGCCGTTTTATGATGTTTTTTATTATTCTTACGAAAAATATGTTTACATTCTTCTTTCAGGTATGCCTAACATTTTTAAAATATTAAACTATAATAAAAGAGATACAATAACTTTATTTTTATTTACTTAGGCTCTATTTGCATGTTATTACTTTCTTTATTGTTTATATATACAATCAGATGTCAATGCAAGTTTGGAAAGGGCTTGAAACTTATTTGTATGACTTAAATTGTTCTCTTTTTTGATTATTCATTTATAAATTGTGAAAATTTCTTATTTATAGTAAAATATGAACCAAAACCAAATGAATTTGAATATGATGAAGACGAAGAATTACTGAAGAAAGATGATGATAATTTCCTCCATTCATTTTACATCTTTATTTGCTATCTCTTACGAAATTTATAAACAAAACTGATTGAAGACTTTTCATAAATAAAAAAAGTTTTTTTTTATAAAAGATCATTTCTTTAACAGTTATAAAGATAAATACAATAATTGAATTTATAATGAAAGTTGGCATACTCCAGAATTCACTTGCTATAGGTTTCGCTGTTGCCATGTAGGGTTGTAAATTTACGGCAATTTTAATGTAAGGTACGGTAAGTTATAAGCACGTAACGTAACTTACATGTAAGTATTAAGTAATATAAAAATAGGATCTTTGCTAGGAAAATAGCTCTTTAGAACTATATAGATTTTATAATTATAAGTTAAATTTGCTAAATTTTCAATAAATAATTTAAATAAAAATTGTTTTTTAGTAGAGCTTAGCAGCTTTACAATCGCAGTCCTAAAGGATAGTATTTTTATTATATAATATGAGTGTCGACAAAAGAAAACCCGGCAATTTAAATATAGAAATTATTTAAATTGTCGGGTTTTCTTTTGATATATACTATATTATAAGGGCGTCATTAATCAAAACGTAGCTTAGTGAGATTGATCATTTTCCGAAATTGTTACACAAAGTTATGAAATTTAAGAGATGTCTAATTGTAACATAGGGTGTTATCAATCAAAATTTATTTATTTTTATCGGCTATACTAACAGCTAAGTAGGTTGTTACAAGTAGCATGTTGCAATTAAACGTCTATTTTTTATCATTTGTATAACAATTTTCGGAAAATGATAATCTCGCTAAGCTACGTTTTGATTGACGACGCCACATAATAGCATATATTAATCTGATTGGTTCATTTATTCTCCTCTTGTTATAAAATTACTACACGTCACGAGCGTCTCCTACATTTTTACCAATAATTTTGCTCATGTGAAAATGTGATATTGCTGTATAAATAGTCACAGATCACATCATGGGAAAATTGTTAATATTTATTCAGTTTTTGAAAATGCTAAACCAAATTTGACAAGCATGATCAAATCATATACGATATACACTAAATGACGATTATCAGTCTGCTATTACTATTTGTGGCTTTAAAATTCATATCCAAAAACAGGATTTATGTCATATACAACGGAATTTGTTAGTTCGAGTAATTACGTATTACAAATCGCGAGAATCTGTACATTTCGATCATTTGCATGTTTAATGTATTATCTAATCGTCATATATTCGTAATAAATTTGTAAATTAATAATTTATACGTAAAATTGCGAATCAAAAATACAAAAAGATGGATCAGACCGTCCTGGTCCCTAATAAGACCAGTTCATTAATTTTTTTCAGACCAGTCTCAGTCCCAAAAACGGTCCCTTCTAACCATTTCATTTGCTAACGGAAAGTGTCAAATCATTTGATGTCAGTAATTGAAATAAGCGATCACGTAACATCCTTTTTAATAATTTTAATTAGCCATTTTAACTATCAATGAAGACCGGTCCGGACTAGTATTATATAGAATAACTTACCACACATCACAAATTTTGAATGTAACTTACATTTAACTTTATGTAAGGTAAGTATGTAAGTTAGCATAGCGAACTTTCATTGTGATTGGTTAGATTTTGATGATCATCTCGTGATTTTATTGGCCGATCGACCAATCA